TAAAACAATACTTCAAGGGCACATATGCATATCCAACCAACATATGCATATCGGCCAACAGTGCCTCGCCCTCACGTATTAGAGTCTTGCACGCCACATTTTGTTATCCATATGCCAAAACAGCAATTTAATTGAGCCTATTCCCCTGTATTCGAGGAAGCCCCCAATACGGCAACGTTGGTAGGACCGTGGAGGAGAGACTGTTAGTATCTTAGGGCATAACAGGCTGTCTAAAAGGAGAAGGACTGCGATGGCGATCTTGAACTTTTAGTGCACGAACGGCACAGCGGGTTTATCGAAGTCTTGATAATCCAACCAAAGAACATCAAGTACGACGGCATTAGACTGGCGTACGAAATATCGACAACCGGAATCGGACATTTGCGATTGAAAGAATATGGCTCAACCCAAGCTCTGAAAACCTTCGATGTCAATGCACCAACATCGAGCAACGAGGAAAAAAAGCTGGAAGCGTTATATGGACTTAGAAGGCTCTACATGGGAACCATACTCTTTTTGAAGTAATCATCGGTGAATTTAGGATTGGCTTTCAGGATTGGCTCGAAGAAAAGCTGAAGAGCTCCACATCGGGATTAACGGAATGTAATGGAACGAACAGGGTGAACGGCTCTCCGAGTTCATCATGTCGACCCACACTATCCATGTTCGCCCTCAGTTCCAGAAGCCCTCCCATTTGAGATGGATTTGGGAGTCACTTGGTGACAGATCCATAACGAAATAGTTCGCATCTTCACGATAGTACTAGAAAGGGAGTGAGTCTACAAGTACCAACGAAACGCCTCTCTGCGATCGAGATGATACGTCAGCGTGGAACAGCGCGAGCTACACGCGAACCTATGCAGAAAAATGCTAAAAGAAGGTCCGTAGGAGTGTAGAGCAGCAGCTTGGCCAAAGCCGCCGAGGCCTGGAAGCATTCGCGAAGCCCGTCGAAGCTTCATCAATTATGCACTTTCAGCCGCTGTCCTAACGTAACAGTTACTGCATCTCGAAGAGCAATGAAGGTCGTCAGAGACTTCCACTCTGATTCCTTCAGGGTGGGCTAAAATTATGATGGCAGCGCGCACAAACACTCATACCAATTTTATTCTTGGTTTATAACATTTCGTTCGGTTTCTCGCACTTCACACATTAGATTACATCGTTTCCTTCCTAGTGATACTAAATTCTGGCAAATTTTAAAAATAATGTAGGCGCCACTACAGGGCGCCACTAACTCGCGATTCAATCTCCCCTCGTCTTTACAGGTACTTTTGGCACGGGACATCCCTAAGCGACAACGGAAAGACAGGGGAGTGATGGTCGACGACCGCTTCTTACTCATGCCCGCTTTGCAGACCACATCGTGCATTTAACACCGAACGTCGAACATACGGATCGAATACTGGTCGAAAAGTCAACATAATACTCGACGACGACGATACGACGTAATTCGATATTTTAGGGGGCCTCGATACTCCGGGGCTGCGCTGAAGGAAACGAGCAACGTAACGAACGACAACGCGCGTGGACCATCTAAGAGAGTATCGAGGGCGTAGAGGAGGAAAGAAGGAACAGCGGCTCCGTGCTCACCTTTTTGTCCATGAAAACAAGAAGAACATGCCGTTGGCGTTATTCGATGCGCTATGGAAAAAGCTCCGTCAACGAAGATCTGAGTGCCGTTGCTTACGCCAAAGAAATAATAAATCAGGTGGGCGGGGCGCGTCATGCTATATAGTTATGAACCAAGGATGAAGGAGGTTACTGGCTGAATCCCTTAGGAAGGCAAATGTACATCGGGACGGCTACCAGTGCGATGGTCATATTCCTTCACGAAAGCTGTGGACGAAAGGAATGCTTTGTCACATGCCTCATGAGCAATTGCGATCCACTGGACTACAATGACTCGCGACAGCACGTTACTGATGCTCCCTCAAGGAAATCGATTATCAACGGGACTATTCCCCCCCCCCCCCCCCCCCCT